TTTGTAGTAAGTACTCGGGTGTCCCTGTTTTGCTTATATGAGATACTGAAGGTGTGTCTATATATATACACGGCTGTATTCACAGATTAGTCCTGAGATACTCAGCTTTGCCTGACAAAATTGTTAATTCTGAGTGCATTTGGCAGCAGTTCCTTAACAGGAGCAATTCAGTGCTGCAGTCTGTGCTGTAGCTGTTGCTTCCAGAGATTCCTGGTTATTTTTTTTTATGGCAGTATAGTTTTTAACCTGCGACAACCGTCTTCCAGACTTTTTTCACGTTGCTTCAATGGAAGCTTTTATGTGGCACTCCTGCAGTTCTCTGTGTATACGTATCTTCTCCCCCCGGCTTTGGTTTAGCCTGTATTTATGTTAAAATGGTGGCTAAAAAGAAGGAAAAATATAGCATATGGACAGCATTAAAATACACTAACCTTTATTTGTTACTAGCTGCTGAGATTTTGTGGAAGAAACTGGCATAGATGCTGGTTTGCCAACTTCTGCTCTTTTTTCCTTGAAGTTAGGCCTGAGAAGTCCTTGCTAACCAATGGAAGCCTCTCTGTAAACTTTTTGGACACTTAAGCATGTGAGGGGAAAATACCTTATGATTATCCTGTTTGTACTGGGTATAGAGATACTGATATATGAAGTTTATGTATCTGAACTTAAGTCCTTCAGTCAAAAAATGGCATTTTACTGTTTTGATTTCCTGAAAAATTGGTGTGGGTAAGGTAAAAGTTGTAAATATTTTCAGTGTGGTTGACACTGAAATTGGGAGATGATCTCAGGAGCTGGCGAGACTCCTTGAAAGATACTTGGTTTCTTATTGTTAAGCATGAAGTAGGTGCAGCAGCTGCCCTAATTTAGGTGGTTCTTGGCTAGTAAAGGGTACCCTTTCTCTTCTCTGTACCTTTTTGCTTAAGTAAGTAATTAAGGTTTACCCTGTTAGAAATTACTGCAGCAGGTAATTTCAGGTAATTTCTGAACTATGACCCTAAAACGTACCTAAAACTGTGACCCTAAAACGTACCTCTATGCTGGAAAAAACACTTCATATTACTTATTTTTTCAGGGTAGATAGACCTTGATGCGATTTGCTTGAATGTTTTCTTTTAATGTGCTCACATCTGGGCATTTGAAGCTGATTAAATGCAGCGCACATCAACAGAATTCATCAATTTTTAAGCAAGCAAGGAAGCATTTGATCCAAAAGATGTTGCTCTGAGAGTCAGTGAACTCTAGTTTTGGCAGAACTGCACGAATCCTGCAGCTAGGAATGCTCTGCTGAACATACTGAACTTTGAGTCCCCAGAAGAGCATGCCAGGAACGAGTTTGGCCAAAGGTATGATGTCAGACTGTGAGCCTCTGATGTCACAGCAGGAGGATACTTTTGGGAGTGGGGTGTTTGAGCTTGACTGGCAACCCAGTGTGAACTTCAGAAGAGATGTTCTAGTATGCCACGGTAGAGAAAGAAACATTCTCACGAGTGTAGTAGTATTTGGGGGTCACCCGGGGTCTCTTATTTGCTCAGCAGGTTGTCTGTGTTTGTATAAATACATGGTGAACTAGACTGCTAAGTCTGATTCTGCTTCTTCTGTGACAGGTGACTTTTGATACAACCAGACATTTTAGTGAAGGAGCCATAAGAAAGAGAGGCCTGGAAAGACTAAAGCTGCAAGAACAGGAGCACGTTGGAAAAAGAGGGGGAAAAAAAGAGGGGGTTGAAAGGTGAGAGTGTATTTTTAAAGAATGTCCCATTTTCCTGAGATTTGTTATGCTATCTCATACCAAGTAAAATCCAGGAAGAGTGGCTACTGTAAAAATCCAGGCTTTGAGGAAACAGGAGTCAGAGAACTTGCAGCAGTACTATGTGGTTTTTAATTTATGTGTTACTGTTGGAAAGAAAAGCATCATGATAATTCTATGTGTAAGGTATCAGATGGAGGGGCCTGGGTTATGAGAAAGGTTGGACTAGAGACGTCCTGAGGTCCCTTTCAGATTGGATTATTCTATGATTCTGTGGGCCTGGAGTGAAATTTGAGAGCTGTTGCTCTCAAATTGCTCTGAGGCTTGATTGCTTAAGATTCTGCATGTGGGCTTTTTGTACTGCTCTATGCTGCAACATCACAAATAAATGTCTTTATGCCCTGAAGTAAAATTAATGTGATGTACATTTCTAGGTGCCTCCCAGTTGACTGGAAGGTCCAAAGCTAGAGGTGAACACTTTTCTGCCTTTCCCTCTACCCCTTTTTACGTGGGGTTTTTTTCTTTGTTATCTTTAGGGCAGTGTTTTTAAATTCTGATACAAGTAATAGTAGTATATTGAAGTTTTAATTCTGTAGATAATGTGTTTGGCATCCTAAATTGTCACTAGTAATTAATCATGTTACACACTTTCATAACTGAAGAAAACACAACACTTAGAATGCGGATCATAGCAACTCTAATGCTAGGTCTCTGAAAACATTGCTATGCTTCCATTGTTAATACCTTTGTATTCAAATACTTTTTAAAAAAATATTTTTAAACACTTATGTGTGTAAACACTTTGTTGTAAAAGTGAGAAAACTCATGGGTTGAGATAAAGACAGTTTAATAAGTAAAGCAAAAGCTGTGTGTGCACAAGCAAAGCAAAACAAGGAATTCATTCACTACTTCCCATCGGCAGCCATCTCCAGGAAAGCAGGGGTCCCTCATGTGTCACAGTGACTTGGGAAGACAAACGCCCACTCCGAACGTCCTCCCTTTCTTCTTCCCCCAGCTATATATGCTGAGCATGATGTCATATGGTATGG